GCGGGCAGGGCGAGGACCTTGCTGACCTGACATCTCTGCTGCTGAAGAACCCCCCTTGCTGCCTTCAGCACCTCCTGGTGACACATCCACGGGGAAACAGCTGATTTTTGGGACCACAGCCCCTGAACAAGGAGGCTTTGAAGCCCACCCAAAGCAAGAGCCTGCCTGTAGCTTTTCCTAGTGCCTGACTGGCTGTTATATCCCCCTGTGGATGGAAGATACACCAGGGGCAATAACCCAGCATCCTGTGCCCCTAAAAGGCTGGTAATTAGGGCTTTAATTAATCCCTCTCTAGACTAGTGAAGGCCCAACTTTTTGTGTTGGCCTCGTGACTGTTCCACTAAGAAAGAAGCATCTAGAGACTCGTGACTACCACCATAACCCTGTGGTTGGAAAGGGGAGAGGAGGATCCCAGGTGGGTTTTGAAGAAGACAGGATTCTACATCCACGTCCAGTTTTATGTCCTGCTCTGCCAGCTATTCACAAGAAGCTCTTAAATAACTGTACTGCTTTGCTGTGCCTTGGTTTCCCCCATATGTTAAACAAGGGTGACACTGAAGTTGTCCTTGGCCCTGGAATATTCCTGGAGGGACCAGGCAAAAAGCACTGGAAGTGCTGCTTGGGTCTGTGTCCTCTTCCACTCAAATTAGGACAAGCACAGAGGGGAGAGAAGCTCTTGGGGTCTTGAGGAGCCCCTGTGCCTCCTGGTGAAAAGCCTTCACAATGTGCCTTTTTGCCTAAAATACAGGAATTTTTGCAAAAGAAGAAAAGAATTTGGTCACAATTATTTTTGTATCGATCACTTAAGGGGGCGGGGGGAGAAGGGAAAGGTATTTTAATATTGGAACATGAAGTAAAACACACTTGAAATTATTTTTTTTTAAAAGACAAATTATTTATCATTTGTAAGGTAAAATAAACTGATTTTTTAAAGCATCCTTGGCCTAAAAGTTTATCTGTGCATAGTACTCAACGTGTGAATTCAGATTTGTTCCTTTATGGGTCAATCTCAAGCCTGCACCTGGTGAAGAGCCATGGACTGGGGGAGAACATGCAGGAATTTTGGGCTCAGGAGAAATTTTGGGCTTAGTTTTGGGTCTGAGGGGATGCTGCACCTCCATAGGGAGAGGTTTGGCTCATCCCAAGCAGTTGTGGGGGCTTTGAGCTCGAGCTCTGCTGGATAAACCCATCCCTAGGAGCGGGTCCTGGGGGCTGCTCCTCCTGCCCAGTGGTGCCACGAGGCTTCTCTGGGTGTGGAAAATATTCCTGGTGAATACAGAAAATATTCCTGGTGAATACAGAAAATATTCTGGGTGAATACAGAAAATATTCCTGGTGAATACAGAAAACATTCCTGGTGAACAGAGAAAATATTCTGGGTGAACAGAGAAGATATTCCTGGTGAATAGAGAAAATATTCCTGGTGAATACAGAAAATATTCTGGGTGAATACAGAAAATATTCTGGGTGAATACAGAAAATATTCCTGGTGAATAGAGGAAATATTCCTGGTGAATAGAAAAAATATTCCTGGTGAATAGAAAAAATATTCCGGGTGAATACAGAAAATATTCCTGGTGAATACAGAAACTATTCCTGGTGAATTCTTCCAGGAAAATGTAAATTTAAAATAGGTAAAATTTAAATTTAAAATATCTCCAGCTGAAGAGGGCGGCACTTTTGGGGCCAGCCCGGAGCTGCCGGTGGCTGCTGGAGGGAGAAATGAAAAGTGGAGCTCTGATTCCCTCTAGTGTGGGGAATGCAGGGATGGCACCAGCGCTTCCAGCTTTCCTCTGCTTCACCCACCAACAATTCACCCTTTTCCAGGGCGGGGGAGCAGGGGATTGTTCTCTTTGTCTCTGGGTTAAACCCAGCTCTGGGGCAGGCTGGGAGCAGAGTGGGGATGGATCCCAGGCGCTGCTGTCCCTTCCCGCGTGTCGGGGATGTCGGGACGGACACGGGCTCGCTCTGGGAGCATCGGGACCCCTCTCCAGGAGGATTTCAGTTTGGAATTCCAGGGCTCTGGAGCGGCCGTAGCCGGTGCAGTTCCCCGGCCTCCAGCAGTGGGTGCTGGCGGAGCGCGGCTGCGCTTCGGGATGTCGGGACAGGGATGTTGGGATGTCGGGATGTCGGGACAGGGATGTCGGGATGTCAGGACAGGGATGTTGCGATGTCGGGATGTCGGGACAGGGATGTCGGGATGTCGGGACAGGGATGTTGGGATGTCAGGAAAGGGATGTCGGGATGTCAGGATGTCGAGATATCGGGACAGGGATGTCGGGACAGGGATGTCGGGATGTCTGGATGTCGGGATATCGGGATGTAGGGATGTCGGGACAGGGATGTCGGGATATCGGAATGTCGAGATGTCGGGACAGGGATGCTCGTGGTCCAGCCGGTCCCTGCAGGATCGCAGGATATCCCCAGCCCTCCCCCTCCAAAAAATAAAATTGGAGATTTTTGTGGTGTCTCGCTGCAGTTTGTGCTTCCAGGGCCCGTCCCGAGGCTGTGTCCCATAAATCAGGTGCTGCCTGCAGAGCTCATCTCCCTCCAAGAGATGCCTGGAACAGCAGGAGAGGAAGACCACGGTGCCCGCAGTGAGGAGGGGAGTGGATGGGTCATTGGTGACCACACGGAAAAAAAAAAAAAAGAGCAGAGTGTTTGATGGTGTCTGGGAGTGATTTTAGCAGTGATCAGAGTAAAACCAATCCTGCCGTGCCTGATCATCTCATTTCCACAGCAGAAAGAAGTGGTGATGCTGTGATCCATGCTCTGATTTTCCTAAGGATGATGAGTTCTCTCAAAGCTCAGGGCACTCAAGGGGATGGGCTTGGGGAGAAAACCACCTAAATATTCAATTTTTTTCCCGCTGTTTCATTGAGCACAAAATAACAGCCAGAAAAAGCCATTCCCAGCCGCGTGTGGGGCCAGGAGAGGGCACTGGTGCCCTGCCCGTGGCCAGGACAGCATCCCTGCCCAGAGGATGCCCAGGATTCCCGCCCGGCTGGAGGTGCCACCGGCAGAGCCCTCCTGGTGGGCTCCGGAGAACGGGAAAAGCGCCAGCAAGAGCAGGGAGAGATGAGAAACTCCAGCTTGGTGAACAAAAGCTGCTCTGATGTGGGGGAAGGAGAGCTCCCGTGGTCGCCAGCCTCTCGAGCTGGCTGGGAGCCACCAGCAAACAAATTCCTGTTTGACGCAGTGGAGAGACCCGATCACGTCAGGTTTCGGGATGGGGAAAACCCCGAGAAAAACACACGAGAAGAGGGCGGCAGCTGCCCAGGAACGCCGCAGGGCTCGGTGGCTGCAGGGGTGGCTGCAGTCCAGGAGCTGCGGGGAGCTGCCCGTGCCAAGCTGGTGCCACCTCGCCGCTTCCTGGAGGCTGAAATCTCATCCCTGCCCTGGAAAGAAATGTCGGGGCGAGCCGGGAAGCCCCAGCTCCCCTCCGGTTTTTCCTCGTCAGGGTTTCACGGAGCTCCTCCGCCCTGTCCCGGGGATGTCCTCGCTGCCCATGCCGCGGGGCCGGGCTGCAGGTGAGGCTGGAGATCCTGCCCGCCCACCCATCCCCTGGGAGAAACCTGTCTGTCCAGGGAGGGAGAGCGGCATGTGGGAACGCCGAGAGCCCTGGAACGTGAATTACCCAGCCGGAGAGAGATGAATGTGCGATAGCTCGTACCTGGCAGCTACTAATCGAGCGTTAACGCTTTCAGCAGCTCGGAACTGTCACACCGCTGTCCCCAGGGCTGCCGGGGTCACCAGGCTGGCACATGGCAGGGACAGGGAGCAGCTCGGTCCCTGTCACAGCTCAGGCTCTGGCCTCTGGCTCTTTCTGCAGAAGAAGCCAGCGTTAGGGGATTTTTTCTTGCCTGGCTTCCCTGGAAGTTGGTCAATCCTGCAGCTTGGAGCAGCAGGGGTGAGGAGGGAGAGGCTGGCTGCCACTTCTCTCCTCTCCTTAGGGGACAGAGATGGAGCACATGTCAGGAGAGCAGCGTCTCCGTGTGCCAGCCTTTATCTTTATTATTTATTATTTAACCCTGCTCTTTATCTCCAGCCAGCACAGGTTTCTTTGATGTTTTTCACTTTCATTTTTCATGCTGCTTCACTCAGCATCGAGGTCCAGCCCAGCCTGAGAGGACACAACACCCCAGGATTACCAGAGTGACCCCAAACCTGTGTCCCTTCACTCACACACCTTCCATGGGGACAATGCCCACCCAGAGGTGCTTAGGGAGGGTCCAGCCCAGCCTGAGAGGACACAACACCCCAGGATTGCCAGAGTGACCCTCGGAACTGGGGCTGTTCAGCCTGGAGAAGAGGAGGCTCAGGGGTGCCCTTATTGCTCTCTGCACCTTCCTGAAGGGAGGCTGAGAACAGGTGGGGTTGGTCTCTGCCAGAACCAGAGGACGCAGGCTCAGGCTATGGCAGGGAAGGGATAGGTTGGATATTGGGAAAAAGTTTTTCACTGAAAGAATAATAAAGCACTGGAATGCTCTTCCCAGGGAGGTGCTGGAATCACCATCTCTGGATGTGTTTAAAAACAGACTGAGCATGGCACTGGGTGCTATGGTCTGGTTGAGGTGTGAGGGCACAGGTTGGGCTCCATGATCTTGGAGGTCTCTTCCAACCTCATCATTCTGGGATTCTGTGATTCAGCTTCTGTTCCTTCTCTCACCCACCTGCCCTGGGGGCACTGCCCACCCGGAGGAGCTCAGGGCCAATCCAGCCCAGCTTGAGGAGACACAAGGGCACAGAATGACCCCAAACCTCTGCTCCTTCACTTGCCCACCTTCCCTGGGGGCAATGCCCACCCAGAGGAGCTCAGTGCCCAAAGGGGGGCTCGGGCAGGGCTTTGGGGCAGGTGCTGCGGGTGCTTCCCGAGCTCTGCCGAGGGCGGAGCGCTGCTCTTTCCTTCCTGCCCTCCTTCCCACCCCACCCCGCAGCCTGGCAGCGCTGCAGGGACTCATCCATCCCCCAGTTACTAATATGCAAATGGCAGCGTTTGCATGGGCCTGACGCCAGGCTGCTGGGTGTCAGGGCACCCGAGGGAGCCGGAGGTGGGGCGAGGCGTGGCAGCGCCGCATGCTCACCTGGCCCTGCATGGCAACAGGCAATGGAGCTCTAGGTGCCTTGGGCTGCGGACCCACGGCCGCTTCCAGAGGCAGCGGGTGGCAGAGGAGGGAGGGCAAACTGGCAGCCCCTGGCAACCTGGGGCTGACGGCAGGAGGCTGGGCACACCGCGGATTTCCCCCCGCCGGCAGGATGGTGAACCTGGAGTCCGTGCACGCAGGTAAAGGGCACGGAGCGCAGCGCGGAGCAGCCGGGGCCGTGGGCTCGGGCAGGAAATGGGGTTGGTCCCATTCCCGTGACCTTTCCTCGCTCTTTTCCCTCCTCTTCTCTCCCGCCGGGGCGCCTGGTGAGGAGCCCACATTCCTGCCGGGGGATGGATGGATGCTGCCCGGATCTGTTTAGGGGGCTGCCAAGCCATGCCCACAACGTGGGAGCAGCCCCGGTGCTGCCAGGGAGCAGCGCAGAGTGCTGGAAAATGAAACTTTTGGGGTGCCTGGAAAATGAGAATTTAGTGCCTGACCTGTGCGTCCTGTCACTGGGACAGAGCTGGGAGGAGGGAGAAGGGATAAACCCGCGGAGGGATGCGGCAAAGGCGGAGGGAGGTGTGCGAGAGAGAGATGGGACACGCGATGAAAGGAGAAAAGTTCGTGACAAAGAGGGAGAAGGAGGGAGAAATGAATGAGGAGGGAGCTGAGGGAGGCTGGGTTGGGTCAGGAATGAATGAGCAGCGATACTCAGGCGCTGCTTGCAGGGGGCTGCGCTTCTCCCATCCCCCTGAGCAGCCCCTGCCCTGCAGCGAGCTGGGAACAGCAGCAATCTCTGCCTGATGCCCCGGAGCTGTGCCGAGCCCCGGCTCACCCTGCCCGAGCTCCATCGCTGCGCACAGAGCTGCGGGTGATGCTGGAGCTGCAGAGCCCGAGAGCCCCGTCCTGCCTGGGGTACAGGCAGTGCCATTTTGGGCTACAGGAGCCACTTTGGTGACTTTTGTCCTGGGCTTTGTGCAGCACAAAACGCTCTGCTGGAGGGGAGGATGCATCCATCACTCTGTGCCCCATTCCCTGGGTACCCCTGTGGGGCTCCTGCTCCTCAGGGCACACCTGGGGCTTTGTAGCCCACCCAGGACCCCTGCCTGCCCATGGGCTCCCAGACAGGCCTGCAGGGCAGGTGCAGCAATGCCACCACCTCAGCCAGGCTCAGAGCTGTGACAGAGGTGGCCAAAGCCTTGGCTCCACGGCCCCTGCAGGGCTCCTCTGGGATGGCTCTGTGGGCAGCCTGAGTGGGCTGGGGAGCCCTGGCCATGAGGAGAGGCTGCCAAGGAGGGTCTTGGCTCGGGGTGTGAGCCTGACTGGTCGGAGCAGCTGCTCTGGGTGTGCTTGGGTCGGTGCCTCTGGGGGATGCGTCCCCTGCAGGCTCCAACCCACACATCCACACATCCACCCATCCATCCATCCATCCATCCATCCATCCATCCATCCATCCATCCACACATCCATCCATCCAATTCAGGTGGACGCCCCCTCTGCTCTTCCCTTTCCATGGGAATTTTAACTCTTTCCAAACTCGTTGGGGGAACAAAAAGAAAAGGTAAAAAACGATCCACCCACCCATCCACCCACCCAATGCAGCCCTCCAGCTGTCCCCCGGCTCGTGGGTGACCCTTTCCTCACAGGGACATTCCCCAGCTGGGTCCTGTGGCCTCTGTCAGGGCTGGTGGCATCGCCCCCAGGCTGGGTTTGGAGCTGCTCCCACTGCCCCTGCTCTGGCACAAAGGCTGCAGCTTCCAGGAGTCCTTTGGAGCCCAGCACAGTGGGTGTGTGGTTTTTTCCACCCCTCCACAAAAGCCGTTCAGTTCTGGGGTCCCTGAGAAGCTTTGAGGCCCCTCTGTAACCTTTATGCAGAGCTGAGCTCAGCTTTATCCCCAGTTTTTATCTTGGAGGGGTTTTTTTCCCAACTTTAATGATTTTAAGAGAAGACACAGCCCCCAGGAGGACTCCCATGCCCCTCACAGCCTCCTCTCTGCTGAGACACTTCCCTGCTGGCTGCCACCACCCCCTCCCGGGGCGCTTTGGCTATTTCACCTCCCTGGATATTTGGAAATTTTGGCTATTCCAGCTCCCTGCAGCCTCCAGAGGGACTCAGGCACCCAAAGCCTCGGGGTGATGCTCCCAGGCAAGCCCAGCTCCCCCTGCTCCAGGAGCAGATTCGCCTTTTCCAGCCATCAGGCTGGCTCACCCAGCGGCCACGGGCAGCTTGGGAAAGGCTTTATTTGCTGACAGCGTTTGTTTCAGCACAAATAGAGATGCAGATATGTCCTGGAGAAGTGTCTGCACGGGCAGAGCTCCTTTGGTCTGGCTGAACCACCCAGCCTGCCCCTGCCCCTGCTCTCTTTGGGAGCTGGGGAAGAGCAGCACATTTTTAATATGGCCCAGGCCACACTGGCGGCTCCTAATAGGGCTGTGGTTTACAGTTAGGCTGTCCTAAGCTGGGTTATTTTTCCCAGAGAGGTTTTATTTCTTTTTTATTTATTTATTTTTGTTTTTTTTTCTCCAAGCCTGATTATCCTGTGTGTATTGCTAAGCTGGCAAAGCTGTGTGGAAGGAGCTGCCCTGTCTGAAGGAGGTTTTTAGGATGGAGCAGGGGTCAAAGCTGGGTTTGCATCACTCTGGTGGTACTGGAAGGGGTTTGGGTGTCCATAAAAAGGTGTTGGCTGCAATTAGATTAGAAAACAATTGCTCTGTGTGTCTGCTCCTGGTTCCCAAGGATCTCTTGGAGGGTGCTGCTGCTGCCCTGTCACCCATAGGGACACGAAATCTGTACCCCTGTGGCTACAGATTACAAAAATGCTAAATACAGATACAGAATACAAAATCTGCCCTTAACCTTAAACCTCTCAGATCAGCAGGCAGAGCTTTCCTTTTCTTTCTGCTTATTTTTCCCTTTTTATTTTCTTTTTCCCAACAAGATATTCATACTGTAATAACTTGTGCACATTTGTAGAGGATTTGAATCTCACTGAAAATAAAATTCAACTTATTCAAACTAATAATTTGTGCACATTTATAGGGGATTTTTTGAATCTCACCGAAAATAAAATTCAACTTATTCAAACTAATAATTTGTGCACATTTATAGGGTTTTTTTTTGAATCTCACTGAAAATAAAATTAAAGAGATTCAAACTGTAATAACTTGTGCACATTTACAGGGGGGATTTGAATTTCTCTGAAAATAAAATTCAATATATTCAAACTGTAATAACTTGTGCACATTTATAGAGGGGATTTGAATTTCTCTGAAAATAAAATTCAATATATTCTAACTGTAATAATTTGTGCACATTTATAGGGGTGATTTGAATCTCACTGAAAATAAAATTCAAGAGATTCAAACTGTAATAACTTGTGCACATTTACAGGGGGGGTTTTTGAATCTCGCTGAAAATAAAATTCCTGTGCATGGGAATCCCAGGGCATCTCTTATCTCGCAGCTGCAGGAGGAGGGGATTTACCTGGTGGATAACATGTGATATGCAATCAAGGTGCAGCAGCAATTCCTCCTTCCCTCCCCACCCATCCCAGTTTTTAATGGCAGAGGGGCGTGGGGGTCACTCCTGCAGGAGGGACAGAGATTTTCATGCTCTGTTTTTCTGCCTGTCCTTCCTCAGCTCTGTCTCAGCTGCTCCAGCTCTCTCTCTCTTGGGAATTAAATATTTGCTTTCCCTAATTTTATATATATATATATTTTTTAACAAGCTTTCAAGCTTTCTCACCAAAGGAAGCACCCAAATTTCTGCAGGCTTTTAGATTTTTTTTTCTTCCTCTATTTTATGAGAACTTGCCTTTTTTTTTTTTTTTTTTTTAAATACTTTTTGGCAGCCAGCAAAACTTTGTGCTTTGTAGATTGCCTAAGTTAGGGTCCCTTGGCAGTGGTACAAGACAAGAAGATGTTTATAGCTGATGGTAATTACTCTTCCTGCAGTAGAAATGCTTAGAAGCCCCACTAAACGTTCATGTCTTAATTGCAGAGGGTTTATTTGAAGGGGAAAAAAAAAGAAAAATCCCACAACTCTTTTCTCCCTCCTTTTCCCCCCCTTCACTCCTTAATATAATTTGAGGAAAGGAAGTTTCTGAAGTATGTGAAAGTTTCTGTGCTCTGGTATAAAATCCTGATTTTTTTTTTTTTCCTACCTTTATTCATTTGCTGGAGAAAGTTACAGACTTTCAACTTGATCAAAGCTAGGAAATCTTGGCCAGAAAAGCAGATTATCTGCTGTTTGCACACGAGGGCAACTTTGAATATGGGAGAAGAAAACCTGCACACACACACACACACACACACAAAGCCCTGCCTGTTTTGGTGGGAGCAAAAGAGGGAAATGGGGATAAAAATCCAACGGGGCCGCTCTCATCTGTTTGGGAATAACAAAAGGTGGATCTGGGGAAGAGGAAAAGGGTTTGCATGGTGCTTTTAGGTGGCTTCCACCTGCCTTCCCTATCCCAGCAAAACCACAGCAAACACTGGCCCAGCTTCCCCGCTGTTGTTATTCCCCCATGCAAATGGGGAGAGTCTGTGGCCGGGATTGGCTGCAGGAAGCACATGCAAATCACTCAAATAATAAAAAATTATCTCCTTTTTTTACCTTTTTTTTTTTTTTATCCCCCGTAACGAGTCTGGAAACAGTTAAAATTCCAGTGGAAAGGGAAAAGCTGAGGGGTGTCCATCTGAATTTGAATAGAGATCCCCTCTTCTCCCACCTCTGTGTCCTTGGTCTCTTTTAATGTGAAGTTGACCATTCCCACCTTTTCTTGCAGCTGTCCCCGAAGGAGAAAGTGGCCCCGGGTGTGGTGGCAGTCATCACTTCAAGGGTAAATGACAAATTTCTTGGCCTGGGTGAGGATGGGGGGGAAATGCAGGGCACAACACTGTGGGGCAAGGCAGACCTTGGGCGGCTTTTGAGGGTTATGAACACTTGTAAGTGACAAAAAGAGGAGAAATAAAGTGCAGATAGAGGCAGTGGGAAAAACAAGTTGGGTTTGAGGCATCTTGAAGGGCAAGGGAAGGATTTGGGAGAAAGCTGGAGGGATCCCCATCTCTGCAGGTGTGGGAGGTGCTGTCCCAGCCAGAGCACCACAGCAGGTTTGGGAAGCCTGACCAGGGCTGGGGAGCTCCCAGTGCTGAATCCACCCCTTTATCCCGTGGGTGAGGAGGGATGAAAAGGGTGAAAACCCCCCCAGCAAACCGGGGAGGGGGGACAGGACTGAGGGGGGCTGCAAAGAGCAACAGGAGGGAAAGTGCATCCTCAGAGCTGATGAATATTCCAGCGCCTGGATGTTGAGGAATCAGAAATTTGAAAGTCTGATGGTTTATTATAATTACACACATTCATTTGTGCTGTTTAGTGGAAGCCACATGTGCATGTTGCCTGGGACTGTGACCTGTTATTAAAATCAGTTGTGCCTCCTTTTCCAGAGATCAAGATGAGCGGGGATGCTGCAGATTCCACAGACACCCGGCACGAGCCTGACCAGGTGGAGCCAGGTAAGGAGGGTCTGGGGCGGCAGGGGCAGGAGAGCAAGGAGAAACAAAAGAAAAAAATAACAAAAAAAGGGGAGTGTGGGTGCTGGAAGTTTCTTCCCCCGTGCTTTTTCTGGGCTCCTGTTGCTGCTCTTGCAGCCTGGCAGTTGATCAGGAATGTGCTCAGGGCTAGGATTGCGTTGGTATCTTGATCAGCCATGCAAGATCCCTCCTGTGTGACAGCAGCGAATCCCAGAGTGCCTCCCCCATGTCCCCAGCGGGTCTGACATGGAAATTCACTCACAGGGTGCCTCCTCAGTGTCCTCTGTGGGTCTGAGGCTGAAATTTGCTCACAGAGGGCCTGCCCCAATGCCCCCAGGTCACAGAGTGCCTCTCCAATGTCCTCTGTGGGTCTGACATAGAAATTTGTTCACAGAGTGACTCCCCAGTGTCCCCAGGTCACAGAGTGCCTCTCCAATGTCCTCTGTGGGTTTGAGGTTGAAATTTGCTCACAGAGTGCCTCCCCCATGTCCGCAGTGGGTCTGACGTGGGAATTCACTCACAGAGTTCCTCCCCAATGTCTCCAGCAGGTTTGAGTTTGAAATTTGTTCACAGAGTGACTCCCCAATGTCCCCAGTGGGTTTCAGGTGGAAATTCACTCACGGGGTGCCTCCCCAATGTCTCCAGCAGGTTGGAGTTTGAAATTTGCTCACAGATTGACTCCCCAGTGTCTTCAGCTCACAGTGTCTCCCCAATGTCCTCAGCAGGTCTGACATGGAATTTTGCTTAGAGAGTGCCTGCCCAATGTCCTCTGTGGGTCTGAGGTGGAAATTCACTCACAGAGTGCCTGCCCAGTGTCCTCAGCAGGCCTGACAGGGAAATTCACTCACAGAGTGCTTCCCCCATGTTCCCCAGCTCAGAGAGTGCCTCCCCAATGTCCCCAGTGGGTTTTGAGTTTGAAATTTGCTCACAGAGTGCCTGCCCCAATGTCCTCAGTGGGTTTGAGGTGGAAATTCACTCACAGAGTGCCTGTCTAATGTCCCTATCAGGTTTGAGTTTGAAATTTGCTCACAGAGTGCCTGCCCCAATGTCCTCAGTGGGTTTGAGGTGGAAATTCACTCACAGGGTGCCTCCCCAGTGGGTCTGATGTGGAATTCAGAAATTCGGAAATTCGCTGCCTCTTCTGCCTCAGCAGTGATGGCTTTGGAACAGCCCCAGTGCACTCAGCTCAGCTCTGTATCCACAGGGTTGTGCCAGGAGCTTTTCCTTAGGGAAAACAGCGTTTTTTGGGCTCTGTGTGTGTGTGGAGAAAAATGGGAGGGAAAAATTTGGGAATAACCAAATCCAGTCTGGGAGCTGCAGCAGCAGCGGGTGCAGAGGTGTGGTTGGGTTCTCACCTCACACCTGATGCTGAGCAGGCTCCAGCTCCTCACGGAGCCCCCAAATCCCTCGGATCTGGAAAGCTGAGGCTCAGGGGGATCCTTTGAAGGTGCCAGTGATGCTGTGAGCACTGATTCCTGCCAGGTTTGCCCACCACCAGGTGTAACAGGCGCCCGAAAAATCAGGTTTGTGCTTTGGGGCTGCCTGGAGTGAGATTTGGATCGCTGAGATTTGAATCCCATTTACAAGGCCCTGTAATTTCCCAAAGGGCCATGGTCACATCCCTTTGCAGGCAAATGAGCAACACTAAGAAATCATCTTAGCACCCACTAGGTGCAGCAAATTAAGGTTATTAAAAGCTGTGCTGTAGGATTAGAAATCAACACCTTTCAAAGCAAAAACTGCTGGAGAAAATGTAGAGGAACCAAATATTCTCTGAGTAATGAAGAGCCCTAAGCTTGGGCCAGGGGGATGTGGAAGAGCAGGTGAAAACTTTGCATGGAATGATTTTCCTCTTATAAGATTTGAGGGAAAAAAAAGAGATTTTGGGTAAGCAAGAGAACTCCAGGTTTTAAAGGGATTAAAGGGACCAACCTCACCCCTTGATTCAGAAATCCCAATAACTGAGTTATTTGAAAAAATCTAAACTAGAGACCAAACCTGGTTCTGTTCACATCCATGAACTCTGACTGACTTTGGCCAGCTCAGCTCCTGCTCAGGGCTCTCGAATCACCCCAAATTTGGGTTTGGGATAAACCAGCACCAAACACATCCCAAACACCCCAAGCTCCTCCAAAAACCCCTGAGAGCTGGTACAGGCCCTTAAATCAGGAACTGGAACCCCCTGAAATATTTGGTGCTCATTGATGGGGTGGCAGGATTAATCAAGATGAAGGAAAATGGGGATTTAATTCTGGTACTAAATGTAGTGGGAGTCAGAAATGTTAAACCAGAAGCTGGCAGCACATTTGCTTGGATAAAATTCGGATTTTTTGTCAGCTTAAGCATCCCAGACAGCCATTAGTGAGAGCTGCAGCGCCTCTTTCTAGTGGTAATTGAGAAAAGAAAGCAGAACAGCGAAGTCAATTTGTTTGAAAATAACAAAAAATATTCACGGCAGCAGCGTTGGTGGCTCAGAGCCTTCAAATCAAGCAGGGAAATCAGGACGAGTAAATTGCCTTCATTTGCAAAGAGCGGCACAAAGAACCTGTTTAAATCGCTTTTTTCTGCTAAGGCTGTCCCCGTGATTTTTTGATTTTTTTTCTGAGTATGTCCCAGTGATTTTTTGATTTTTAAATTTTTTTCTGAGGCTGTTCCAGTGATTTTTTAATTTTTTTTTACTTTTTTCTTAGGCTGTCCCAGTTACGATTTTTTTCTTTTCCCCTGAAGCTGTCCCAATGATTTTTTTTTTATTATTTTGATTTTTATTTTCCTGAGGCTGTCCTGATGATTATTTAATACTTTTTTTTATTTTTTCTGAGGCTGTCCTGATATGATTATTTAATATTTTTTTAATTTTTCTGAGGCTGTCCTGATGATTTTTTAACATTTTTTTTTATTTTTTCTGAGGCTGTCCTGATATGATTATTTAATATTTTTTTAATTTTTCTGAGGCTGTCCTGGTGATTATTTAATATTTTTTTAATTTTTCTGAGGCTGTCCTGGTGATTTTTTAATATTTTTTAAAATTTTTTCTGAGGCCGTCCTGATGATTTTTTAATATTTTTTAAATTTTTTCTGAGGCTGTCCTGCTGATTTATTAATATTTTTTTATGTTTTCTGAGGCTGTCCTGATGATTATTTAATATTATTTTTATTTTTTCTGAGGCTGTCCTGATATGATTATTTAATATTTTTTTAATTTTTTCTGAGCCTGTCCTGATGATTATTTAACATTTTTTTTATTTTTCCTGAGGCCATCCCAGTGATTTTTTTTTTGATCTGCTCCGGTTCCTTTGGGGAATGAGACCCTGCAGAGTGCTGGGCTGTCCTTTGGGTCCTGCTGAGGTTGTCACCCTTGGGGACACCTTGCAGGACCCTCGGGGGGTGGCAGCACCCGTCCCTCACCTGTGCAAGGTGCAGCTCAGGTATTTCCCCCAACCCTTCCCCGCGTTGTTTTCTCAGCCCTTTCTGTTTATAAACAACAAAGCTCCCTTTGTGCCGAGCTTCCCGGGAAGTTTTTGTGCTCCTTTGCAGGCATTGTTGGAGGAATATTTACTAATAATGTTGTGTTTGGGTTCCCTGCTTCATGTGGGAAAAGGCTCAGAGTGGTTGCTGATGACTCATTAATTGAATTTCCCATTTCCGACCAAATTGAGCCAATCCACACAGCTCATTCCCCCTCAAAAAAAAGGAGAGGTCTCTTACCAAATTAATATTACACCTAGAAATCCTCCTAGGTGCAGATATCCAAAGGTTTTTCATCACCAAAAGATGCAGGCTGGCTCCAAGAACTTGAAAAAGAAAAAAAAAAAATTAAGGAATTAAGTACCAAAATGCTTTTGTAAACCAAGCCCTTGATCTAAAACTGAAGCCTAAAGATCTGATGGGAAGTGGCAGGAGCAGAGGCATAATCTCATCCTTTCATATCCCTGCCAATTCCAGGCTTAGAAGGAGAGAAAAAAACCAAAAAAAAAAGGGCAATTTGGGGCATTGTTCTACTTTGAAAGTGTTTGAAATAATTGTGGGGGCTTTTCTTTTTTGAGAAAATTCTTAAAATCGTTCGCCTTTCGTAGGAGGTTTGGAGATCTCAGTGCTTTTTTTTTTTCAATTCTTTTAATCCACACCAATTCCACAGAAAATATTTCAGGGCTTTTAAAAATTATATTTTCCAGAAGCTTGGGGTTTTTTGATCCCAAATCTACCACTTACAGTGAAATTTTGCCATTTTACAAGCTATTATTTAAAAAATATAATTTCTAAGGCTTCTCACTGCCCAGCCCTGTGAATATTAATCCCCCCCCCCCCTTAACTTCAGCTCTGAAATTTTAAATCATTAATCATTTTTAATAATTTTTTAATCATTTAATCAGAGAATTATCCCTCTGCTTTTAGGGTGCTTTTCCCCTTTCCCTGCCTGATTCCAAGCCTTGTCACTGGGGCTGTTTCAGAGCTTTTTAAAAAAAGAAAAGATTTTATTTTCCAGAAATTTGTTGGGTTTTGATCCCAAATCTACCGGTTGCAGTGAAATTTTGCCATTTTACAAACTATTATTTTAAAATATACAATTTCTAAGGGTTCTCACTGCCCAGCCCTGTGAATATTAATTTACTTCATCTCTGAATTTTTTTCATCACATGTGCAGGGGGGAACCAGCTGCCCCAGCAAGGGTTGGTTCCCCTTCCCCATCACGCCAGGGATGTGGGGCAGGCTGAGCAGGGATTACCCCTCTGCTTTCAGGCTTCTTTCCCCTTGCCTGATTCCAAGCCTTGTCACTGGGGCTGTTTCAGGGCTTTTTAAAAAAAGAAAAGATTTTATTTTCCAGAAATTTGTGGTTTTTGGATCCCAGATCTACCAGTTACAGTGAAATTTTGCCATTTTAGAAACTATTCTTTTCAAAAATATAATTTCTAAAGCTTCTCACTGCCCAATTATTAATCCTCCCTTAACTTCAGCTCTGAATTTTTTTCATCATATGTGAAAGG